TCCCCAGTTTGTGGTCATGACAAACAACCAGCATCATAGATGACCTTTTTGAGTAACTGAGTAACATTTTGTCAGTCATTCCTCTGTTGGCTCACTTAAGTAGTTAAGAGTTGCTGAGTCTATTGTTGGGAAAAGTCTCTTGCAAACAACTACACGTGATGTCATTTAGGAGATCATTGCTAATGGCTGTATATCAGCATCTGAGCTTACTAGGCACTGGGCAATATGGTAGACTTTGATTTTTGTTCATTGTTATTTCATAGAAACTAACAACACAACTTTTGTTGGCTATTGTGGATTTTTTGCATTAATATGTATTTCATATAATATAGTATATATATTTTTTTCCTCACAAATAAGGTGATGTGCTCTTTATACATAAGCATATAGAAATCAATAAATCAGTCAAGCAATAAATGAATCTATTTTCTATAGGCAGGTCTTATATGGAATACATTTGGAGTTTTTGGAAATTATTCTTTGAGAAAGTTTCAGATAAAATGTAGAACTTTCAGAGTAGGCCAAAGAGAAAGTCAAGAGTCTGGAAAATGTGTTTTGGAGAAAGAATGCATTTATTGGGAAAGAAATGGGAAGGGACATTACAAGAATCTGAATTCAAGCATCTGGAAGGTTGCTATAAGGTGGAAAGAGAATGCTATCTTCTCCAGGTATATCTGTTGTCTGTTGCCATATGTAGTAGACAGATGAAGAAGACAGAAGTTTAGTACCATCTACAAATGTTTGATGTGTTACATATATTAGTAAGTATGTATACAATGTAACATGTAGAATGTTTAGAAGATGCATTTCATCTCCATCGCTGGAAGTCTTAAAATAACTTCCGTACAAACAGTGGTCAGGAATGACATTCTGACCTTGTTCTATGGCAGTAAGATGTACTAGTCAACACTGCATTATCTTCTCAGGTTTTTATTGTATTACATGACATTTTCCTTCAGGTTAACCTTGTTAGTGACTTGTCATTTACTGGAAAGATGTTGGTATTTCATGATAAGCTTCTGAAACCAAGTTGTTGGGCAATACATTTTTTTTTTTGTAATGGAGGAGAGTACAATAGGTACTTAGTATTACAACGGAAAGATTGAAAGAATTAACTCAGAACCTTCAGAAAAGGACAAGGTGGTCAAAATATATTTATCAATGTCTCAATATTTTTAAGGCAACCTAATAATTTTTTTTTTGTATAGGTAATACTCTAGGTCTTGTTTGTTCTCCTTTTACATTTCTATAGCTTTCTTTTTTTAAAACACAGAAATTTCATGCTTTATAGGTTCTGTCCATCTAACACTTCCACTTCAATCTTGCACTGCTATTGAGATGCGTGCTCTCTCTATGTGAGACTCGCACCAACCTGCTAAGCCGAAAGCTTCGTGCTTGTTCTGCTCATGAAGAACTGAAACTGCTTCTACCAGGTTCTTGGCAATACTAGGCAAAATATTTGCAGGTAGACCAATAGTCATATGCACAGGGACAGAAAGAAGAGTTAAACTTGTCTACCTTGTAAAGGAGCTCTCTGACCACCCAGCAACCCTTCCCGGGAAGTAGCCTAGGTTTAAGAGACATTCTCCCTTCAGTGGCTGGCCCTTATGTGAGCTCAGGGTGCCTCTACCCTGAGTCCACCCCTTCTGGTCACTTGGGAGCACAACTGCAAACAATTTGCCTGTGCCAGCCACAGCCCTTCACTAGGTGCTCAATCACCAGTTCAAGCTGTGACCTAACAGTTCTCCTACAGTGCTTTTGGGTGGTGAACTGGAACCAAGAACTTAAAAAGAGTGAATAAATAAATAAGAGTGGGGTTAGCTAGAATTGCTTCTCTAGTCTGTTTCACCCCAGGACTATAAAAATGTATGTATCAAGGGGTGCATAGGAATAAATAAGCATGTTCTTGCCTGGCAAATGCAGGAGCAGCCACTTCAAAAGACAGTGGCAACCTTCAGTAATCAGGCTTCTATGATGTGAGTCTTAAAGCTGGAGAATGTGTTAAGAAAAAATCTATTCTCTGCTATCTTACTCCATGTTTATATACATCTGCAACTGCTTAATGGAGTAGCATAAGAAAATGGTTATCAGTTTTTGCACAACTACAGAGTCAAAACAAATGAGGGAACAGCTTCTTCCTTTTCTGCCTAAATATTATTTTGTGTAGAATTATAAAAAATGTAGAAAACGTATTTTGAACTGAGCTTTTGTAATGACAATGTGTTGATTCCCCTGCTAGGAAAAAAGCTTACCTTTTCTCTTTCTTTTTTTTTTTTATTTCTGTTGCGCCATCATCAAATCCCCAGTGAATAATTTTTGTCATGCAATGTTCATAGGGCATGTTATTCTCCACTTTTTATTTACAATGCTAAAACTGTTCTTGAAATAAATATTTGGCAGAAAACATTGGACAAGGCCCTCTGCAATGCTTTCTTTTAAAGACAAAAAACAAAAAAAAACAAAAAAAAAACAACTTTTGCTTTTTTTTTTTTTTTAACACACATAGCTAATACATTTTGGTCTGAATTTCTTTCCTTCACAAAAGCAAATTTCAATCCTAGTACATAATTTACGATCTTGGCATCTAGCCCAAACATATGTACATGTTGAAATCAGTTTTGCATCTGTTTAACTTTATGCACGTGAGTAGTCTAATTCAATTTAGTCTGATGAAATGACTTGTATGAAACCAAATGTTTGTGGAACAAGAATTTCAGATAGTAGGGTTCTTCAGGGCAATAGCTTCTGCTTGCTGAAACTATGTGGTTCTTAGCACAGGAAATTGTATTTAGATCATCTAGGATCTCTCTTCAAACTATAGCTGTAGTAAGAAGAGAAATGATGAAGTGCAAAAGAACATTTCTTGCAAGCTAGATTACTTTCTACTTCTTTTTCTTCCTCTTCTGAGAATCTCTTTACCATTAAGTGAAATCAGTCATTCCTTCATAACAAGCTATCAGACTGCTGCTGTTGGCCTTCTGGTAGCCACTGACAAAGTTAAATACAGTTGTTTATATATGCTGGACATATATAAACATAGGAGATGTTATAATCATCATCTCCTATCTGGATGGAACCATGTTCTTCCTGAAACTTATTATTCAATGAATTCAGCAGCTACTACAAGGAAGTGTTATGAATGGGCAGCAATGTAGATATTCACCATCTTCCTCAACAAAACGTCAGTGTGCCAAATAAGAGAACAGGATTTTTGCTGCTCTGCCAAGTCTCATCTTCCCACACCATCTCATGTCTGCTATCCTGAACCCTGGAATCAGGCAAAAATTTTTTTGCCGTGCAGTTACAGGCTGTAGGAAGACAAGAGGTGGTGCTGAGCTTACTAATTGTTGAAGATATTTGTATCCCAAGGCTGGCTTTTCTGTTTTCTTCTGGTATTTCCTCATTCTTCCTATCGCCATTATCTAGGCAGTGAAGAGACTCTTACGAAAGGGGCTGAGAAAGAGGCTGCAAGATCTGCTGTTAGGTGCATTAGATATTTAAAAGTGGAACTCAAGAGGATTTGTACTGTGATAATGTAGTCTGGGAAGGTTAGATAAGGAAGGCTTGGACAATGGGTGCTGGGAAGGCAAGAAAATGAATGGGAGTGACTGCAAAACTGATGATGTACAGAAGTCAAAGATGAGATGGAAATGAAAACAGGGAAATAAAAAAGTTATGGGAGTAAGAATTTAAAGCAAGAAGTATATGTTAAAGACTAATGCAGTTTTGTTGGCCTTTCCCTTCTACCTCATTACCCAGCTACATTCTATGATTGATGAAAACACCCCTGAAATAAAAAGCGAATTTTTGGAGGCTCGGAATATAGCTCAAAATGTGATTTTATGCATGTGTATTTGAAATAAATTTGTGATTGAGGAATTATGCTCTTGAAGGTTTTTTTGGTGGCATTTAGGCAAAGCATCAAAAAGGGACTCGTGAAATTCAACATGCAGCACCTGATTTAGATTCTCTGAAGCTAATAGAAAACAGTATGCTTTGAAGTGATAGAAAAATATATTGAAATATTAAGGATTAAAATATTATAGAAATAAAATTGAGCTCTGAATTACTTTCTGATGAGTGTGATGGCTTTGTTGAAGATTTTCTGTGATACCTTTGTGTGGCTGGTGTGAAGATTTGGTCCTAAAGTGTTAAGTCATATAAAGCTTATTATTCTTGTTCTCTTTTCATGGTCTTCTGTGGTTTTCATTTTGAAGCATATGCAAAGGAAGCAGGTAACTGCAGTCTTAATATTACGAGGAAAAATGTACAGTATTGACTCTCTTTGTAACTGAAAAATTTTGGTCCTACAACTGGGTAGAACTTTAATGAGATGGTCATCTGATTTATACAGTAAGCTGACTGTTCTGCTGAGGGGAAAATTCTGAACGCTGGTATGTGAAATGGCTGTACTGTATATTTCTCAGCAGAGCATTCATAATGTTGGCAAACCTACACACCTCTGGTTCAGTGTGGGGTTTTGCAAATGAAAACTAGAATATGATCACCTCCACGTCTTGAATATTTTGAACTTATTGCAGCTTTTATATTTCATACCAATTGAATTTATATCAATTTTTTTTCTAGTGAAATCTGCTTTGCTTTAAAATGTGTAACATTTAATCATATGTGGTTTTATGCAATTTTACTGCCCCTTATTTATTCATGGCTAATATACAGAAGTCAGTATTTGTTAGAATCTTCCGTGTGTAACACTTGAGCAGTGCTGTATGGCAAATACCTCATCTTAACTGTAATTACCATGGGCAATCTATTTGGTAATTGATTTACTGAATTTACATCTGGTCACATTTTTTTAAAGCATGGAAATGAATATTATAGTGAAACTTTTGTTCTTAAAAGGATCATGAGCGCATTTTGTTGAACAAAGAATAAAACAAAATCACGGAATTATTTAATGTTTATGAATCGTTTTCGATGAATACACCTTATTTCTATGATCATTTTTTACAAATGTATTTTTTAATTTCTTTTTTTAGTCTCCTGCACATAGCTATTCAAGCTATGACTCTGGCAAGAATGAGAGCGTAGACAGAGGTGCCGAAGATCTGTCTTTGAATCGAGGGGATGAGGATGAGGATGACCATGATGAGCAGGAAGATCCTGAGAAGGTTAATGAGTCAGATGGGGTAGAAGCTGAGCGACTGAAAGCTTTTAATGTAAGTCCTTCTGCACTTCTTGCTTTGCTTACCTTTGCTCTCTCTCTTTACATTATTATTTACATTATTATTTACGGGTAAATTTGACAGTATTAATGGCACATTAATTTGTTTGATCTCTTTCAATTATTATATTAATGCAGATTAAACACTTCCCAAAAGATGACAGACTTACTGTGCTTTGTTTAGAATTTAAAGCAGAGTGCCATCTTTACCAGTGAAGAAAGCAAAGCTTTGTTTTGTGTGTGTGTGTGTGTGTGTGTGTGTGTGTGCCTGTGTGTGGATATGTGTATGTGCATGTTCAGTCAGTGTATGGAAAGGGGCTGTAGCTAGTTTATCAGAAGACCATTCCACTGGTCAGCTGTTCTCTATTGCTTTCCCAGTGTATGTAATTATGCATGGAAACACAAACAATTTTCAAACCAAGAAAAGTGAAATTCGCTTCAATAAAATGAAGTAGCAATCACTGCTTATTGTTAATGATGAAACTAAGTGGTGCCTATTTTCATACTCTGTTCTGGTTTATCTCGCAAGTTCTATATCTTCTAGACTATTCTTTTCTTTTTTTTTACTAGCTTCTTTCCACTCCCTAAATAATCCTTTAAAGTACTATTTGCTTAATATTTCTGGCTTCCCATTACAAAGCTATTCCGTGGATAGAAAAAAATGTCTTCCTATCAGTAATCAAGACAGAAAGCTAGGAAGAGAAGAGAGCAGCCCTCCAAACCCGTCTCCTCTGTCTCCCTCTTGCCAACAGATGTTTGTCAGGCTGTTTGTAGATGAAAACTTGGACCGAATGGTCCCAATCTCTAAGCAGCCCAAAGAAAAGATCCAGGCTATCATTGACTCATGCAGGCGACAATTCCCTGAGTATCAAGAGCGTGCCAGAAAGCGCATACGTACTTACCTCAAGTCCTGCAGGCGGATGAAAAGAAGTGGTTTTGAGATGGTGAGTTTTGATTTAAAACCCAGCCCTAGTTTCCATCAAAACCCCATATGTAAATCCATGACACTATTTTGTTTTCATCTTAGTGTCTTTTTTTGTTTGGTGTTTTTTTTTTTTTTTTTTTTTGTAATACCAAGTCAGAGGTTTCCTTTTCCCTCCTTCATTCTTCCTGAATTTATCCCCTTTCTTCACTGGTTTAAAAATGCAAGACTAGAATTCACAAGATGAATTAATACGGATCCATAGGAAAAGTAAAATAAGGGATAAGGGAGAGAAACCAAATGATGGCTTACATGAGTGGTCATCATGATGGCTCATTTCCTACTCAAGGTTACAGTTAGAAATTTTTGCCTGGCAAAGTCTTAGGTAAGACAGGTTTTTCTTTAAAATACTTTTTTTGATCATACTTCTGTGAGCTCTGTAAAAAATATATCGTGCTAGAGAAATGCTATCTCCAAGTTTATTCTATGAGCTATCAGTAGAAGTTACCCCTTTGAATTCTTTCGGTAGATATAAATTGAGTTTATGTTTTGAGCATCACGATGATGCAGTAAGTGTAACTGAACCAAAGACCATGAAAAACATATTACCATACAACTGGCATTGTTTTCAGACATTACTATTTTAGTATCACCCAATCCCCTGAGAATGGGTAAAGAATAACTTTTCTCACCAGTTGACAACTTTTTTTTTGTTTCTAAAAACAATCTTTTGTATTTCCCAAACCCTGCCAGGAAAGGTGCAATAAATTAGGTACGTACACACCTTATGATTGATGTGTCTTAGCTTTCACTCTGGCCATTAGATGACAGTGAAATCACCTCATCTTTACAAATAGATATCATTTAGCAATCAAACATATCATTTTTTATTTTAATGAATCATCTGCAAAACCATTGATTGCATTGAAAATATTATTGGGGATAATTGAATTTTACTGTTTCTCTCTCTCTGTTTTTCTCTTTCCTGCAGTCTCTGCAGAATACTTATGTTCATATGCTATTTTAAGATGTTAGTTGATAGTTTTTTGTAGGGTAAGACCACTGCTGGATATTACAAAGAGCAGAGACAGAAACAAAATTATGTGTTTGTGATTCTAAATGACTGCATTGCTTTATTATTGAAATAGTGGGATAATGCTGTTTCTGAACAATGGAAACACAGATGAAAAGACACAGGTAGAATTAAGGACATCTGTAATGATAAAAGTGCCAAAGATTGGCTGATGGTGTACACGTCAAATCGTATAGATTTCCAGTGTAAAATAAAGAGAACAGAAAGTAATTTTTTTATACAGCATGTAGCATCAAATTGCATCTATTTACTCCAGCTGAAAATAATTCAGCAACATCAAGTCCACCTTTCATGATGCCAAATATTGCCAGTGTTAGCAAGCCTCTTCACTGTTCTGATTTATGACCTCATTAATCATTATTCACACTGATGAGGAGTTATGTAAACTGATTCCTTTTTTGTTATCTGAAAGATTTGTGCAACTCCTTTTCAGTATGAATAAGGAATTTACAGTCTGACCCATAAAAAGCTAGGTTGGCCTGACCTTAGTGGTTATATACATTTGCAAAGGTTACTTTCAGATGAATAAAGGTTGTAGGATCAAATTTATACCCTTGAGAGGAAAAGGAGCAGGGATTACCAGGAACATGATTCAAATATGCAATCTTTGTAATTCAGAAATATTCCCTATAGGATTCCATTACATTTCATGATGGGCTTTATTTCTTTCCAAACAAACAAATCACCCACTAAAATATTAAATTTCCTGCCCATGAATGGAAGTGACAAGGCAAGACACTGGTGTTTGTTCCAAAAATTGAGGCGTTCATTAGGCAGAAGGGAAATCTGCAGGTAGGAATATGAGCCAAAGACTATTCAGTGTCTTTGGAGGACTTCCCATTATCTTCCTGAGATAATAAATGATGTTTTATGCTTATGTCTCAAATAATTCTCAAATGAAATACATATCCATTTGGCATTTTAATTATTTTCTAATTTCTAAATTACTATATTAGTACCTCATGATTATAAGCAGTTTTTAAAAGTACTACCATGGACAGAAGCACTTGACTGTATGATTATTTTGAGCCTATTCACCACTTCGACAGTGGAAAGGAATCACTTTGTCTGGATAACAACATTTGTTCAAAACAATCATGAAAGGACATGTCGGTGTTGATTTGAATCAAGTACTACACTCAACTACAGCAAAACAGGATAATGATCTCCTCAGGAGCAGTAGTGCTACCATTGTTACATTAAATAGGATGTCGGATAATAATCTCCACAGGTGGTATCTTTTGCTATAGACATATTAAACACAAGGTTTTCACTTTGTTCAGGGCCAGAATTACATGTTTTGAGCATCTAGTTGTAGGAGAAAGAGAATTAATCTCTTAGGTGATATGTGACAGTTCAGAGTGTGCATGTGGAGTGGTGCAGCTATCTACAGCATCATATTGCAAAGTGAAGCGAAAATGTAAACACTAAGTTTAATTGGTGTAAGTCTGCCTAGTAAAGATGAAAAATCATGCCTGCAGCATGCTTCTGTCAGTTATTTGCCATCTGTAATCCAAACGACACTTCTCACTTCATGCCAGGCCAGTTCTAGCTATGAGGCAAGAAAAAGGTTCAGTCTCTCAAGTGTTCATGTTTCTTAAGTTTCTTAGCATTAATTTTTAAGAGATATTTATTCTGCTCATACTTATGACAGCTTGGAGTCTGTGGCCTCCAAGGCAGCTTGAATAGCATCTTGTTACAAATAGCCTTTTGAGAAATTGAATATGCTTTCTTTTTTTTTTTTTTTTTTTTTTTTTTTTTTTTTGATTCTTCAGCTTGCTATTGTGCCACTTCCATTTTCATTCTGACACAAGCATATCCCTCAAAAAAGCACTGTAAAGTTTTTCTCAAGAATTGTAAAATCAATTTTCTCCTCAAGTTCTCTCTTGTGTATGGTCTATTGAGAATGTTCCCTCACTAAATTCTGTGATCTTGCTCATAATTTTTATTGAGAAGAAAGTTGGTTTTTTGATCCTGAAATCACTGGCTTTCTGATGAGATCTCTGGGTTCTGCTTCCACTTGTGCTCTGCTGTATCACTTTGTGAACTTCGAGAAGTTCTTGAAGACTAAAATAAAGATTTTCTTTATTAACTCCCAATAAAAAAAAAAATAAAATCAATTATCACCTCTCTCTGAAGGACTGATGGTAATGAGAATTCCTTTCTATATAAGAAGTGTTATCTGACCTATATACACTATACAAGAGGTTTTTTTTTCATGGAAATAGTCAGTGACCTATTTCACTAGTTTTAAAAAATGCATACTTCAGAGTTGTCCCTGCCTATGTATCTGTAGGAAAAAATACAAACTAAAAAAAGATAGTAGCTGCTGATGGTATCTACTTACTTAGTCCAGAAAATTTTAATGTTAAAAATGATCAAATGGGATTGAATTATCTTAGTAAACTTATCTTTGTTCTACTGTCTGCTCCATCCCATCTACAAGATCTCACTAGTTGTATTTTGTTTGTAACTGCACCTTACAGTATCATTTGCACAAATGTATTTTTTTCATGTGCATCACAAGTCACGATCAAGGTTTTAATAAACTTGTAGTCACAGAGAGATTCTTTTTATTTTTATTTAAGCTAGAGTAAACCTTTCTTGATAGACACTACTGTAATACAAAGAAATGTTATCAAAGAGCGAAATGTCACTACTGTAATATATTGGAAACAAATGGCTAAGTTATAAATGCCTTTCAATGTCTGAAGATGTTTGGATGTGTAAGAGACAAGGAAAGGAGCAATGCCCTCCTCTGCCCTAAAGATGGTTCCTGAGTTACATCCTGTTGTTCTTCCCAGCTTCTTCTATCCTATTGCCAGCATCAACAACAACAACAAAAAAAACAAGCTTGGTGTCTTTTGATTCTTTTGTCTTTTGTTTGTGCCAATTGGCTGTAAGTGGTGTTTCTACAATTTACAACTATGCACGCATGTATCAAGATGTTTTAAATGTATCTATTGAGGTGAAGTTCTTCTGTACTGTAATTGAACAAATTCTGTGGGGACTGTTCTCAGAAGGTGGTATGTTTTCTGAAATCTGCCTCTTTGCAGTGTCTCTGTTAAGTTTTATATTTGTAGAGAGGAAGCTTCTATGACTTAACCAGTTTAGTGTTGAATAGTCCAGCTGTCCTTGCAGTCACTTGACTTTTCTGACCTCCAGGCCTCTATTGTTTGGAAATGTTCCAAGCATTTTCAGAGTATGAAAGCCTGTGTGTTGAGGGTTACGTGCCTAATTTTTATTAAGTAAGGAGATATTAAGAAAAATATCACAAAAACAGTTACATAATGATCTACATATAGTAACAGAATTGTTATTTTATACTGCACCCCAAACTCTTGATCTGTCCCTTTCCTTTTTAAGCACTTCTCTCTTGTGAAACAGTAGTTAGTTTACACAATTCTGATGGGTAAGCTGGTTAAAAAGGGCAAAACTATTCTCTAAAAAAACTCATATAATTAAAAAATTCTAGAAACTGATTTTTTGAAGATTAAAATTCTTCCCCTTTCTGAACAATCCAATGTGTACTGAAGTAATTTTTTAGAAACTATATTCTAATTCTGTTTCAGATATGTTTTGCTTTTTAGTAACTTATGCAGGTCTGAACAATTTTTTGAAAGTGAGTAGCAAAGTTTTCCTGTTTCCAGTAACTTTGAAATATGTGAAGAAGTTAGCTTTGGAAATAGGAAAAAGGCGTGATAAAAGGCATGAAAAGGATGAAAACAAAAAAGTGAAAAATACAACCCTATATTAATTGTTCTTTTCTTTTGCGTTCTGTGAGAGAGAAAAAGGCAGAAATGCAACTTTGACATTAGTTTCAGTCTCTTACTGAAAAATTGCAGTAAGTTCCAGTGTAGAATAAAGCCCAGTATTTTATGGGGGAAAAAAAAAGAAAATAATGTTCAGCTTGATTAGTTTTTCTTGTACTATGACTGACATATTATGACCTCTGCTACAGTGCTACTTGATGAATTGGCTTGTGTGAGTAGCATGAGTATGTGACCCGACTCAAAGCATTCGAACTAGGAAATAATGTTAAATCAGACTCACTTGTTCCTGGTCCTCTGGAGTTTTACTAGCAAACTGTTTTCTGTTGAAGTGCTTAATACAATCTATTCAGTCCAAATCCATCTCAGAAAGAATAAGCTCTGCCCAGTGATTTCTATGGCTTCCTGTCATTCTGAAATACCAGATATATTTAGGGCAGTCATAATCACTCTTATGTTAGCTGAGTTAAGGTGTTAGAGAAATTAGGTGACTTGAGTTCCCTCAGCACTAATAAATGAAACCCGTAGGTGACACACTCCTGAGCAATTACTCCCAGCTATCTTGAGAGTCATCTTTTGGAGATGAGTGTCTTTTCAAAGATATGAAAAATGAACCTAGATAACTAGGTTAGATAAAATACCAAATCTTTTTGTGGATAAAATCAGATAGATCTTATTCCTGTTGATCACAAAAGATAGTTAAATTTTCTGCTACCCCACTGAAAGTGCTGTCCTGAATAATTGGGCCAGGACATGGCCCTGTATGGAGGTGCAGAGGCAGGGAAGAATTGGTTGAAAAATGTCAGTTGTTTAACATATAGGCCGGAATATGGATATGTTTGGGTAAATGGATCTAGTTAAGTGCTGTCATAATGAATGTGCAGTAGTCAGTATTTCAGTTAAGGTCCTCTAAAGCTGAAAACTTTAAAAAGCTGTGCGATCACTGAATGTTTCAGGAAAAATATTTCTAGTTGTTTTTTGGAATTTCTTAGTAGGTGTTAAAATTGAGTATTTATCACAACTTCACTGCAATCTGAAAGACTGAGTAAAATACATCAAAACCCAGTCTGAAACACAGTACATTCAACAGGCTGCAGTACTGTACTTTACTATATGAATTTAAAAATACTGTAAGGAAAGGATTCAGAATCCTTTTAAGTGTGTAGTGCAGGATAGTTCTGTGCCATACTGTTAACTACATTATACTGACTAAAAAAACTCATTTGGAGATAATGCATGCCCTGCATATTTTGGATGTTTTCTATGAAAAACTGCTAATTAGAGATTGCTTATTTCTATTATATATGTTACAGATTCTAATAGAATGTGTTAGATCATAGTATGTTATTATGAAAGGTTTGTGGCATAATATTTGATTCTGGCAATGAACATAATGCATACACAAACAGCTGACATGCAGGAGGGCAGTAGGGAGACTCATGGTGTGAGGAGCTCAAAATGCTTGATGGTACCTATGGAAAAAATCAGTTACTGACAGTGAGGTATCCTAGGGATTCACCTTTACCTATGGACGCCCAATTGCTTTGGAAAATGTTTTTGTTTTTGAGTAGTAGTTTAAATGTGTTCTCATTCACACATTTATATTAGATGTTAGAGTATCTGTAAACAGAAGAAAGTAACTTGTATATTAATGAGATTGCGACTATCTTATACCACAGGATTCTCCTTTTTGTTGTTGATCTAAAGTACAGGGAAATATTTATGCAGAAATGTTAATTTGTGAAGTCTGGCATATTAGCAGATATGCACGTGCCTGTTATCTGACATAATTGGCAGCTCGTTTTTTTTTCAGAACTGAATCAGGCCTGTGTAATATGTGCTAGAATAACTAGACCAAATTCCTTTTGCTTATAAGAAATTACTGGACCTAATAGCAAATATATAGGTAGTAACTTCAGAGGCAAAAGTTCTCCAACTATAGGTAGCAAACAGCAGATCAAAAATTCTTTCAGGTGAACATACTGCTCCTAGTGGTTTAGACTGAAATAGTCCCTCTGTTATATCTGTAATTGGTAGATTTATACCAGAATGTACATTTGAAACATAGCAATTTGTTAGATTCCATATAGAAACAAAAGAATTGTGTGAAACAGCACTGAGCTATGCTGAAGGGAACCTGACAGCCTAAAAAAAGGCTGGCTTGTCTGAGAGTTGCCAGCTTTCTTTTGCAGAATTGAATTACATTGCTTTTGTCACATTTCCCTGTGTCTTTGTGTCTCACCCTCAGACAGGGATGTTGGAAATGGGCAGACCCACAGAGATTGGGATGTTTGAGCATCTCAATGAGAGGATTTTATAGCTGTAATCATGACAGAGATTAAAAAAAAAATAAAAAATCAGAAGTATTGAAGAGGAAGTTAAGCTAAGGCAGAAGGGGCCTCTGAGCTTAGAAGATGCTGCAATGACTTCAGTTTACTTAGAAATTAGAAAAAACATGTATAAGAAGAAAGATTATTTCAAAGCGTTTTTTCCTCTTAGGCAAGGTTTTTTGAAATTGATCTTTTTGACATTTCACAGATACGGCATTTCATGGAACAGAAAATCTTTTTAACAGTTCTTTTATTAGTGACAGTCATCTTCTCAATCAATGCCAGACCAAGGCTCTGACTGAGTTGAGTTTATAGAGCCCAAACCTTAATCAGACTGTTTTTCTGCTGTGCTTTGTTACAGTATTTTACTGCTCGAGTGACTCAACCATGCATTCGTGTTCTCCTGAAGGTTTATTCTAGATAGTTCTTGACATGAGCATATCAACAACTGGCTGTAGTGATGTGTGAGAAATTATGGGTTAACAGATATTTCAAGAGGGAGATGCTCCATTACCCTGGAGACTTCCTCATTTTTCCAGGTATTAACTTTTGAGCAGTGTTTCAATGGTGAATCTACCTGCTACAGTCATTTTTAGAGGAAAGACAGGTGACTGCTTGATTATAATGGTGATTCATTATTTTTAAAATTCTAATAAACCTATTCTCTCCCATAAATAATCTGAGGAACATGAATTCATTTGGCTTTTTGGACAGAGTGTTACTTTTTCAGTTCTTACATTACCTTCTGAATATCTGTTGATGTTTATGCAGTGTTATAGCTCTGAGCTTTAAGTGTAGCTGGAGGAACGAGCCAGATGTTTACACACCATCATTAGCCAATTTGTGTGAAGGTGCTGATTGAGATGCTGTTTCACAGTGTGACAGCTCTGCATGGTCATCTGGACTGTGGCTTGTCCTTCACATCACTGTCACCACTGCTGAAACACACCACCCGTCCCTCACTGTGCTCACATCTACTATTTGGTCTCCATAAACATTCAGTGTTGATTACAGTCCACGTGTACAGTTTTTCCCACATGTAGGAATTCAGTGACACACCTGGACTTCATACGCATTTCCATGTCAGACACCATTCTGTCAGACTGCCTCTCTGTTGCCATCTGCCACACAGCAACAACATGTAATGGAATACTGGTGGGAAAGTTCAGGCTTTACTGCCATACCACCAACCTCTGCTTTTGATGTTGTGGGAAAATATAATAAAATAGAAGGCATTACTTTCATAGTTGCTCTTGTATATAACAGTATTCGGGACGTTATCCTAATTTTCTTCATTTCTTTATAGTTCAACTTATCGTTATATATTAACAAAGAATATAACTAGTTTTATTGTCAGCCTCATCTCTGCTGTGGATGTAATTAGGAAAAATACATGTAAATGGTCTTATTGATAAAGGGGAAGAGAAGATCATACTGGAATTCATGACTGAGCTAAAACAGATTTTAGCATTCTTTTGTGTTTAGGTTTTTTTTTTTTTTTTTTTTTTTGTTTGTTTTTTTGTTTTTTTTTTTGTGATTCATTGCACCTTTTACCTAAAGCGTGTAAATTCTATGAAATTAGTAACATGGGATTTTGTTTGTGAATAATGAATATCTAGTTAAACCACAAAACATCTACATAGTTAGAAGGATGACAATATCAAGAGGAAAACAGATTTTTTTAGGAGTCATTTTAATCACATCAGTCATGTTGCAGTAAGGAATGCAAATATTCACATACTACAGATTGAGACTGCTCCAAAATGTTCTGACAATCTGTTCTGTTTTGAGTGATGCCTTAGCCCCATCACTCCGGGTTTTTTGTTTTGTTTTGGGTTTTATGACTATAAAAAGCCAGTACTCGTCTCCGTCACATGCTGTACAGGATAAAAGCCGTTCGGCTTTCTTACCAAGAATCAGACGGCCGGAGTGCTGCTGGAACACAGAGAATATGCCACTGTCTGTGCAAAGTACAGTGTAATGAGGCAGACTGAGCGCACACCGGACAATAGAGCTGTGGGGGGAAAGGGCTTCTCATGGATCTGCCAATCAGCTGCAGCTTTAGCATCTAACTAGTTTCATTTTTCATCTTTGCGAGTTCCATTTCCCTGTTTTGTTGGTATAAACTACATTTCAATGAGCGATCTTCCTGCCTAGGTGACAGCACTGTGAGCTTTGATGAGGACGTCGCGGATCATGCTAGAAATAATTTCTGTGTTTCTTTTTTTCTCTCATAGTCACGACCTATTCCCTCACACCTTACTTCAGCAGTTGCAGAGAGTATCCTGGCTTCCGCCTGTGAGAGTGAAAGCAGAAATGCTGCAAAGAGGATGCGGTTGGATAGACAGCAGGTACTGTGTTCTTTGGGGTCTTCCACATCCGTACTGATCGATGCACTCAGATCATTTCAACTGACAGTCGTGATGAAGTGTGGTGCAGAAGCTGCACCTCTTTAAAGCAATACACAAGCATGCCTTTGTTTATATGTACATGAGACGCATGAGGGTGCCTAGCACAATTATAGTGTTCAGCTGGATAAGGCTGCGTATTTGCTTTTTAACAGCTGTAGATTTTGAGGACATAGAGTGCAGTCTGCCTGCTAGAGTTATAAGTAACAGAACACGTAGTATGTGTGTTACATAAATATCAGAAACAGTGCTTGCATACGTGAGTCAGACTGCTTACTGTGAGCATACTCCCTTTCCAATTCTTGTATGCATTTTTAAGTGCAATGTGAAATTCTGTAAGTTTCTGAAAATACCTATTTACTTACAACAGAAAAGTTACTGGGATATACATAAAAAGAAAGCTATCAAATGACTTGGTGAGTGTTCTAATCTCATATCAATGTTTATTTTTTTCATATGCATTTTTTAGGCTTTTATAGTGTGTGATAGGATTTCATTATTTTTAAATTGCTGAGAATTGCTTGTTTTCCTTCGACATTTAAAATTCAAACTCATAACTCGCTTTAGGCTTTGATTATTTGATTGTTCCAAGGATACTGTGGATGTCTAACATTTTTATTGCAAAAACCATTCTAGTCTTTATTTCTTTTCATAACTATCACAAACCCCAGTCCAAGTAATATCTCTGCTCTTTCTGAAATGTGCTTCCATTATGGTAGGTGAACTATTTTTATGGAATGCAGTGCTTGAAAGAAGAATTTCCTTTACACAGTCCATTTATTTCCCCCAGGTCCTGCCCTAGCTGAATAAAGGATTCTTAGTTCTATGCTTAGATTATTGATAACTTAAGATGTGAGAGTTGATAGTGATATGTCCTTTTGTTCTTAATTTTTTTTTTTATATTTTCAATAATGGCATATATTTATATTAAGATTTACAAATCCCATGGAATGTCAAAGTAGTGTAATGTTACGTGTGGCTTACTGCTCATTCAGATTGTGCAGATTTTTTATACTGTCTATTTTCTCTCATTTGTCAGGAACAACAACAACAAAAAAGCTACAGAATCAACTTGCTTGCCCCAAGGAGGCTGAGAAAAGACTTGTGCAAACATCAGCTATTTTCATTGCACTGTCTAGAGACTAACCTGACCTCAATAATCATAAATAGAGTGGCTCAATTCCTCAGTCCATCCAGAGTGAGGCAGAGTTTTCAAGTGATTTAAATCCGACAGTACTCCCCAAGGAGCCAGAGAGCTGCTGAAATAAGCATATTTTAAAAGCTGTAGCCAGAAGTCAGAAAGCTATTAATAGGATTTTTCTTTAATTTGTGATGTTACTGAAAGATTTGGTAACAATTTTTTGAAGGGGTGAGCTGGATCTTTTCTTTCGATTATAGAATTCAATATTTGTAGGCAGAACAGCTCTAAATTGATCATCTTACTTCCAAAAGTGATGTTAAAGTAGCTAAGCATTGTGGTTAGGGCTATCACCAGATACTTTAATATCTAAATATTAAATTTCTATTTACTGATTTAATAATCAGTAAATTAGCTCACTTGATGTGGGATGATGCTATCAAAACTTCATGAATTTAGGATAAATGTACTGAATATTTTTTTTTTTCTGGAAAAAAACTATGGGAATGTCTATTGGTAGCTTCATGAAACCTACAGTAAGAAATTTACCCTAGGAGGGTGAAGAATTAGGACAGTAATTAGAGAAATAGAAAACCTTGGTTCTAGCCCCAGTTCCATTGAACTGTAGTTATTTATTCCAACATTAATAAAGTAGATTGAGAGGAAAGTATTCTGGAATATTTCTTAGTGGAATATTTAACACAAAGTACTGTACTCTCATGCTTAGATGGGAAATGAGCCTGTATCTGTAGAAAATGTTTTATAGATAAAAGGACGCTATCCTTCTTTTCTTTTTTTTTTACCTTTTATTTACTTTTATATTTTATTCACCTTTCTTACATATATCCAAAATGAAACATTTTCAATGTTTTTTTTTTTCTTAAACAGAGTAAGGTTGAGTAAGTTGAGTTCATCTTTCATCTTTTTTTTACTGTTCTGTAGTTTTGAAAATAAAAACAAATTTAAAAATGAAATCAATTTAAAAAACAAACAAACAAACAAACCAAAAACTAAAAAAGCCAAACAAAAAGAAACTTATCTTCATGTTAGGATGGCTCTGCTTTTCCTTTTTAAATGTATATTCCCAAAGTTAGGCATTAAACAAATGAGGTGGACTCAGGCTTCAGTGGAAATTTGGGAGGAGGAAAAGGGAAATAATCTGTAGATAATGGAAATTACCACTTGATAAATTTTATCAGGAGACTTTCTAACAGGGAACAAATATTAGATGGTTCTGGAAAGTAGATCATTAAAAGGACTTGGTAAGAGCACTCCTCCAGCACTTCCACTCAGATGTGAGTGGAAGCATTGCATTAAAGATGCTTTATGTGCACTGTGCATGCAGCCCAGTGAAGTTTGCCTTTTTTTCTCCAGAGGGGTCAGTCTGCCTCATAGCTAGATGTAATTTGAATCCCATCACCATCTTCTCAGAAGATACAAACATGCATATGCATTTTATGGATAGTTTTCTAAAATATTTTTTCAGAATATGGCAAATGTACTTTTGTAGATACAGTCATAGAATCCTTAGAGTTGGAAGGGACCTTTAAAGGCCACCTTGTCCAGCTCCCCTGCAATGAACAGGGACAGCTACAGCTACATGAGGGTGCTCAGAGCCCCATCCAGCCTGACCTTGAGTGTTACCAGGGATGGGGCATTCACCACCTCTCTGGGCACCCTGTTCCAATGCCTCACCACCAAAAAATGTCTTCTTTATATTCAATCTAAATCTCCCCTCTTCTAGTTTGAAACCATTTCCCTTCGTCATATTACAAAAAAACCCTGCTAAAGAGTCTTTTCTCTTTCTTCTTATAGCCCTTCTATAGATACTGAAAAAAATATATAGAAATATGTAATATATAGATAGAAAACAATGCATATGCATGGAAGTCTTTATAAGGAAACAGTAATTTGACCAATCAAATTCGTTAGCAAACCAGTATGAATACTGGAAGGTCCCAGTCACTCTTTCTTGTGTGCTCATTCTCATGTTCTCACACTTGCTCATTTTCTCTCCCCAGCTCCAGCAATACAGAAAATATCTTTGTATTTATGCTGCTGAGAAGTGCTTGTCTCAGGTGTATTGCCTCTGTCTTGCAGGGTCTGTGCAGTGAATGGTATGTGTTTTGAAGCGGTGTAATGTCACCACTGAATAGAGCCACCTCTACTGGTACATAGGGTTGGTGTCAGTCCCCTGTCACATTCTTTGCCTCATTCAAATAGCTCAAGGACACCTTGCCACTGCAGGGTGATTGGAACCATCGTGTAATGAACATGAGTCTGATATCTAGTCCTGAAATTGAGATGAAATTTCAGCAGCTTCCTGAACTCTCCTTATTTGCTCTTTCCTCTCCTGTGTTTTACCGCTACTTCTCTGACACAAGAGTCTCTTAGCAGGAAGCTCTGAGCATGTTGCATATAAATCCCTACTGTAAGTCTGTGCTTTAGTAAAAAAGCAACTTTCCAAACTAAAATATGGCTTTGCCTATAATGCTAGTGACTTGATAAATAAATACGTCAGTTTTCGCTCAGGAAAAATAACCAGCTTAAAAACCAAAGCAATGGAAACTTGAAGTGCAGAAAATTTCTGCCTGCAAAGCCAAGTTTAAAAATAGGTTCATGCAAGCTGGTCTCACTAGCATTAGTTACTTGTTTTCAAAATTTATTATTTATTTTTTTAATGACCATTTATTTCCTAATTGGAAACAGAGTAATCTTATCTGTAAGGAAACTAGTACCTTTCAGAGGGTAACACTAAAGACATTGTCACTTTCTGAGACTTCTCTGTAAGGAATATAAATGTGTTTACTAGGTCGCAGGAACTTGGAAGGTAGTGCTTTGGCTGTCTGTTTGTGTTAGGTGTTTCTCAAGTACTCTCTTTAGCTTCAGTGCACTTCCATTATCTTGGGCTCTGTTTGTTGGCTGATAATCTAAGTGCCGAGAAGTCCCATATTGGAAATGTTACCTGATTGAAAAGTTCTGTTCTTCCACTTTTTATTTCTGACTAAATTCTGACTAAAATAACTTATTCTACTGCACAAGTTTTGTAGATTTACCTATTCAAATTATATAGGTTTACTGATAGTACTGCACGAGAGTGAAATGCCCACACTCACTGGCCTGGGTTTGTTGATCTTTCTATCACTCACATGAGAAACTGGGTGCAAAGGTAATGAAGAGCTTTTGCGTTGCTCTGCAGGTCACCTTTGTAGAGTCCAGATTCTAAAACAGGATAACTCCAGTCTTGCATTTGTGAGCATTTTCTTCAGAGTTGACCAAAGTGTGGAAACAATAATTAGATAATCCTCTTATTACATGCTTCAAGTCAGTGACAGAAGAGATATTATCTGAATCCTAATGGTTTGTTTTGGTTCTGAGAGATGTCCCTGGACTAATCCTTCAAGATCCTCATTACAGCTCTAGCAATATTCACTATGAACCAGTTACTCTGAAGTGAACCTTAAGGACTAAGATCAACAAGAAAGTCTTGCAAAGCATTAAATAGAGCTGAGGTACAGCCCTTTTACATGCATTCATTACGTACTGTGAACAGGATGACTTCTTTTATTGTGTCTCTCGCTTTGCAGAACCAAATAGTCTTGGTTAGACAAAAAGAGAGTGATTAAATAAATAGGAAATCTGTAAAAGACACCTGGCCGTTGCTGTTCTGGGCAGTAAATGGAGGCTGGGTGCCTCTTTTGTGAGTGGCTGTTACAGGAACCTTAGCTCTGTGGCTCTGCTTCTTGTCAGTCACAGAAACTGAAATATTGCTTCAGGAGCCTAGCCACTGTCAGTCTCAGTTTCT